GCAAAGAAGACCAGTTCCTTCTATCCACCTCCCCGTCCCCTCTGGGGTGGGTGGCTCTCTCCTCACCCTTCCATTTATCATCTTCAAGGTAGGGCTGCTGCTCTGTGGTCCAAGTTGACAGATCACTCTCTGTGGAAGCGCCGCTCCTCCCCTGGACTTGTGTGGACACTGGTGCCATGAGTCCCTGGGCTTCCTCAGCCCCTTGTCCCTCTCAGCAGGTCCTGGCATTCACAGAGGTTCCTAGGTCCACACCATCTCCACCATTCTGCAGGGGCCCTCGGGCTGAGGCCCAGGACAGCCCATGGCAGCAGCACCTCTCTCTGCTCAGTGGTCTCTGTGGCTGTGGGACCCCCAGCTTTGCCTGAGTCATCCCCTCTCAGATGAGCAGCCTGGACAGGAAGCTCCAGGGTCATGGCACCTCTCCTAAATCTCTTCACCTTCAGCCTATGCAATGAAACCACGAAAGACCCACTGGAGGGCACTTGGCTGAGGCCAGACATCCTCCAGGGACGAGGCTAAGTGACAAGATCTTTGGGAGTGGACCTCAAAGTACAAGACCCTCAGCTCCACAGAGAGCAAGTTAAGGATTTGTCACTACAGCTGGGAGAGGGTGGCTGTGTTGTGTTCCCATCATCTACACTCACAGTCACATGGTGAGATTGTGTTTGCATATGAATTACTTTAAGATGACTAAAGATTAAAAAGCACTTTGATGGTCACAGGGACACTACAGACCTGCACATCGTAGAGTATCAATGTGTGAGGACAGTATGCTCTGTAAGATGGTCACAGTGATAGTTTGCAGTCACATTGCCTCCTGTTGAGTGTGGTGGTTTGCTGAGCTGACATTATGCAGAAAAAGGAAGCACTCAGGTGTTCAGGAAGGGAAGACTCATGCCACACACACACACACACACACACACACACACACACACACTGAGGACACAGTCGAGGGTTCACTTAAAACAGAATCTGAACTCCCCACGTCCCTTAGGAGCATCTGAGACACACCCACCTGCTGTTTCAGCTCGGCCACTATCCAGTGTGCCCTGAACCTCTTTCTTCCATCGTCCCAGCCCCAGAAGAGTGAGTTCATGGATGGGGGGGCAATGAACTCTCCACACTGCCCTCCAGTAATCCTTCCTCACCTATGGCATCCTCCATTTCTCCAGGTATCCTCTCACCTGTCGAAACATTACGAAGTCTTTGCTCGACTTTGATCAAGGCCGGTACTTTGGCTATTCTTTATTTTACCCTGCTATAAGTCATAGTGCTTATCACTGCATAGTAATGCGTTGTGATGAACAC